AAAACAGCTGTGAGGGACGTGTTGAAGTCTTACGCAATGGATTGTGGGGGACCGTCTGTGATGATTCCTGGGACTTAATGGACGCAAAGGTCGTGTGCAGACAGCTCGATTGTGGCAGCGCCGCCACAGCACACGGAAGCGCTTTCTTTGGTCAAGGCTCAGGAAACATAACTCTGGATGATGTAAATTGTAGCGGGAAAGAGGATAGATTGGAGGAATGTTCTCATGGAGGATGGTATCGTCATAACTGCAACCACGGAGAAGATGCTGGTGTCAAGTGCTCAGGTATGTTCCATAGTCTGAAATATAATGGCATAAAAGGAAAGAAAGTGCAATATGTTTACATACTTTCCTCATAATGGAACAAGTGTAATATTATACGTATCTTCAAAAGAAAGGAAAAAGCAGCACGTAGGCTAAATTTAACTAACTTTGACATCTGTACTAGGCAGGTTCATCAAACAGAATATCAAGCCACAGGTTGTAGCATTTGGCTGTAATAATGAACAAGAACTAGAATGTTTTTGTCAAAGACCAGCATTCATGGCTGATTTTACCTTCTTTTTAATAAATATTAGTTTTGTACACAAGAATGTGGTAGACAGTAGACATGCCCAAATGCTTCTATTAAGTAGCTTGACAGTTGGCTGAATGAATAACTGCATCCAAAAAAGGTTCATGGATGATTTGGAGAGAAGATACTGAGTTCCACAGGTCTCTCCTCCCTTTCCTGTTCAGCATTTTAATCAATGACTTTCTGGAATAAACTGAAGTTGGAACCAACTTTCTTTATAAGGAACATTGGTTGGAAACCCTGCCATACATGCTCTTAGGGGACTCTAAACTAGATGAAAATGATGTAGTTGCCATGAATCTTCCTAAGATGAATTTTGAAAGCACTGATTTGTGAAAATAGAAACATAGTGACATAGAAACCTGATGGCAGAAAAAGATCCAGGGTTTCACTGAGTCTGTCCTCTGAAGTTTTTTTTGTTTGTTTGCTTTTGTTTTTTAAATTCATTTATTTGTTTTTAATTATATTGTTTTTTGGTTTTTTGTTTTATTATTATTTATTTATTATTTATTTATTTTTAATTTTTTTGTCAGATGATAGACATATGTTTATCCCAAACATGTTTAAAACTCGGCTACAGATGATTCACCCAGTATCTCCGCTGGAAGTTGGTTCCAAGCTTTCATTACTCTTTCTGTGAAGTAATAATATGCAGGCATTATTTATACAATAATAATGTGTTTTCCATTGTGAACATGCATCAGTAAATAATAATAATGGCGAGATTCTGTAAATCACTAGTGTGATATAGTATTAGTCAGCAATGTTCAAAGAAATACTATAAAGCAGTTGCCTATTGAAGACATCCTACTCCAATGTTATGTTGGATAGAGAAGAAAATTGTACATGTATATAGAATTTGTTTTATGTTGGTCTTC